GTTTTATTCCATTCAGCAGTCTCATTTTTAATGTATTTTATTACAACATTAAATTATAAAATTAAAAATACGTTATACAATAATTTTGAGATTGTCAAAACAAAATAATATTTAAAAAACAATTTCTAAATCGAAAAGGAATTATTTATTTTGTAAATATTGACTCTTTATAGTTTTTTTTTTTTTTTTTGCCGGAAATGGATATTTCATCAATTTACTCTCTTTGATATTTCCGTAAATATTGAATTTATAAAAGAACGTAGATTGAGCCATTTTAGTAGAATCGAAATAGTACTTTAATATTTGACTGAACAATTTTTGAGATTAACCTCTTAGTTTATGAGATATTCTTAAATCAAGTCAATTTTCAGACCTTCTCTTCCCTCCCCTCCTCCCCCATCAAAACCCAACATGTGAAATTTCAAGGTCTTTTTATTAGTAATTAGGGGAAGGTGATAAACAACTTCTGACAAGTTTCATCCTAATTTTTTTAATTTTGTGGTCAATTTCTAATTTTACCTACCTAATAATCTTTTCCTCAATTAGAGATAAATATCAACTTACTCCGTAAAAAATAAATTTGATTAATAAATAAAAACTCAAAGAATTCTTGATTTTATAAAAAAACGAACCGTAGTTAACTGCTTTAACAGGGTGGCGACCGACCGGGAAAACCTGGAAAAGTCAGAGAATGTTTTAAATTGGAATTAATACACAGTGGATTAATATAATTACCGGACCATCTTCATATTTATATCGTTATATAACCTATATCTATCCACTTGTCACTGTCAATAACGGCCCTGGCCGTTATATTGGAATTAAACAAAGGTAAGGAATACAATGTAAGAAAAATGGAATTAAAACAGTGCTTTTTAAAAAAGAAAAATAACAATACTGTTTACTATCTGTAACTATACATCTATTCGTTGGTTAACTAAAGGAGAACGTTGGCAGCTTGACAAAATTCATGATTAGGTAGGGTAGAGTGAATGAGCAAAATGTTGTTGGACCGCTCGGACATAATAACGCATTTTGGTCCTTAATTGTGTGATGATTGTTATGCATATCTACAGAATTTATAAAAGCTACGTAATATTTTTATACATCCTAGTTCTGTTATATAATTGGTAAATTAGCCGAAAATAAAGCATTGAAAAGATAAAAAGCTCTTAGTTTGCGAACAACAGATACTACAAGAGAAATACGACTTTGATTCTCAGAGCTTTAAAAGCCGTTAAATCTTCGTACATATTAACGTGTCTGTATGAGGTACATACGAAACTTAATGCTCTTTCAAATTGATTATATTGAATTTCTTTGATAGATGCATAGATTATTATATTGAATTTCTTTGATAGATGCATAGATTATGAGTTTTGGGTAAAACCTACAAGAATAGAATTTTCTTGTGAAAAATGCAAATAGTCACTCTTCTCTTACTGCTCACTTATGCATAAAATCTATAGTAAATTTTATATTCTTTAATGTTGTATATACCAATAATTTCGATAAAATGCACAATTTTTGAGTAAAGTCTAAAAAACTAAAAAAAAGTTTAGAAATTTTGATATTTTTGCGTATATCTCAATACGCAATGGAACATTTCGTTCGTGAATGTCAAATTCAGATCAGTATCCCAAAAAAACATACTACACCAATGAGAAACCGACTATTTGAATTTTTTTTCAACCAACTTCTATCGGACTGCCCTAATGTGATAACTTTGACGTCGTCCGTCTAGGTGTATTCTTTTTGGAACATATTCTTTACGTCATCTCCAAATTTTAGCTGCCAGTTTTTCCGTTAAATTGGCCGTCAAATTTCGCCTCGTTAATTTAAATTTTCGTATAGAAATCCAGTTTTCAACTGACTCAACGAATTTGTGTGTTCAGATGAGGTTTATCTAGAATTTAAAATGGTTACTAGCTGTAAGTCCTTCCTTTAAATAAAATTGTCGGTAGCTCCTTGTCTAATAGCGGAATATTGAGAAGAACCGATTTTGTTGTAAGTAGATAGGTAGTCGTTGTTTTTTTGATATAACTGATTTAGCATGTCCTCGATTAGATTCATAATTTTTTCAAATTGTAAGATTTATGTTGAATTCTTGAGCCAAGATATTAGACTCTTCAGTCTCCAGTCTACAACATGTATAGAATTTTTCTTATATTTAGAACTTTTTGATGTTCGTTATTCATATTAAACTACTAAACAGAAATATGAATTTAACACTATGAGTGGGAATGCAATTGGGCCTATAAATGTGATTCTTACATACAGAACGAATGAAATAAAATATTTCCTCTATAAGTGAGATATAAATAAGTGAGATATAAACACGAAGGTTTTTAGGAGTTCAAATGTTGCCATATACATCATCATAAAAAGATCATTTCTTCTAAAAACTCTAAGAATTCGAGTCAGTAAATCCAATCGTTATATCCATTCAAAATCACACTGTAAAAGCCATCTGAATCATCGAACATGGCGTTTTCATCGTTAAAGCCGTTACATCGTTATAACAGTTACATACGATATTGTAATTCAAAGAAATTTAAATGTAAGCTGCAGCCTTGATTATTATAAGTCCTTTAATATTGCTATAAACTATAAAACCACATCGCTATTTCAACTTAGTAAAAATCTTATTTTAATAAATAGTTTTTTACGTTCTCCCATTAATCGATCAAGAGATAAATCAATCATTATTGATTTCACACATTAATTATTAATACTAAAAATACAATTGAAAAATCATCACCTCGGTCGAGACGACAAGAGTCTCAGGAAGTGATTCGTCCAATGCAGGCTATATATGATGCCAATGGGGGGGGGGAAGGGGGACGTTTATGGGAGTTTCCGTGATATTCGCCCTCGTAATTAACTAATTTCCAAAAAAAAAAAAAAAATGTTTGTGTCACATTTTTATTATTATTTGACTCGCCGACTCTTTAATCTTTTCATTTTACGAAAAATATGAGTAAGAAAGTTGTTTAATATTAAATTTCCTTTAAGAATATATATTATTTTACGATCTTATCTCCAACCATTCAAAGGCTAGAGCAATTATCATTTAATGATTAAACTTCTAAACTATACAGAAAAACTTTTTCTCATCATGCCTGTTAATATGATCAGTTTATAAGAACAAAGCTTAGTATGAAATATGACACCTTTTTTGCCACGGGCTCCTGGACTATTATAAGAGTATGTACAAACCTGAAACGTCTCTGTTTTGGTTTATTATTTTCAATAATGCACCATTGTGATAGACCAAAAAATTCAAAAACTTAACCCTCTCTTGTAATTTGAGGTTTCATGTTTCAGGATACGTAGAATTCGAAAAATGAATAAACAGTTTTTTGTCCGTCAGCTGTCCGCGCATTTTCCCCGAAGCTACTGGACCGATTTTTTTTTCAAATTTGGATATAAAATCAGAGGTCACCCGAGAATGATCGATCCTCCTTCATTGACATTACTATCCACCTTTTACTTTCAAAATGGCGGCCGAAAAACCTGCGTTATCGATACGTCCGTTGACTGTGTCGCCTAAACGAATGTACGGATTTCTATGAAACTTTGCTAAAGTCATTTTCTTGACGCCCTTTAAATTTATCTACATAACATATTTCAACGAAAAGAAGCTGGGAAAAAAGTTATGAGGGATAGTAAAATTAAATTCCGAATAACTCCAGAAGTTTACACTTTTTTTGTCGATATTGTGATAAGATGTTCCGAAGATATTTATATTTTCTAAAAAATGAAGGAAGTTTCATCGAATAATTTTTTAAAAGTTTACGGAATTTCATAAAAATAAAAAACAAAAAATCGTTAAAATCAGACTATTAGGAGCAAAGACAAAGATATGGTATCTAGTTTTTTTTATATGTTATACTGTAAATGTTATATCCTTTGTTTTGGTTTTTAAATTTTGAAGTTTGGAAATGATAAACCATTGTAAAATAATTTGCAGCCTTTTTTTATTTGAGTCAACCCCTTCGACATTGAAACTATACAAAGCTTTTCCTTGGTGGAAGGCGGGGAAGTTTAAAACTCCCCCAGCACCAGTAGGCGAACTCATAATTATTTCATCATGTAAACTTGAGTTAATGAGGTTGTCGGGAAACGTGTGTTTTACACAGCTTTAGTCCCCTCAGGTCCAGTCAATGAATGCCCGATAAGGGGGTAATAGAAAGATGTGGCGGATACTCAAATTTATTTTTCTTTAAAATTCGCCATAGTTGAAGATAGATATCTCTCTAACTAAGTGACGTAGTGAAAAAATGTATAGAATCAATCATAGATATCTTTCTAACTAAGCGACGTAGTGAAAAAATGTATAGAATCAATCATATTGCAAATTTTATCAGCTTTAATTTTGTATAGAACGTTTTTGTTGAAGCAATGGATAGTTTTCCTGATATAAATGAAACCCCGCAAAAAGTGACCTTCTAGGGGCCTCCTCCCTCGCTCCCCACCTGGCTTACACCTAGGAGTGGGAACTTTTAGTATTTTTTTTTAAGTCAAAAATTGTGTCCCTGCCATTTCCTTCTGTAATCATTCATTGATTGAACTACTCAGCCATTGTATGGATAATTATTGTTCTGTTTGTTTCAATAAGAAAACTGAAAATTAAAATTAAAATAAGAATAGCCTGTAGCTCAGTTTATTTCATAATAGATAAAAGTGTCAAGTAACAACTTTTACATTTTCTTACTTTATGAAAATAAAGTGCTTAAAGTATTAGTAAATAGGCAATAAAAATAAATTACTTAAGGTCAGTTTTCTAAAATAAATTTTTTTTTCTTAATGACATTTACAACTGTATTACATAAATACATCTAGTAAATTTGGACATAATAGATATAATGACATGAATACACTTGCTGGGCAACTTCCCAATGGTAGCACTCTAATGATATGACTATATTAGGAGATTACCTCTTTACATATTACATCTTTTATATTAAAGTATTATTACATAACTTTTTTTTTTTAAGGCTGCCAACTATCTTGATATCAAAGGCCTGCTTGATGTTACATGCAAAACAGTGGCTAACATGATCAAAGGTAAAACTCCGGAAGAAATTCGTAAAACATTTAATATTAAGAATGATTTTTCGGCTGCTGAAGAGGAACAAGTACGTAAAGAAAATGAATGGTGCGAAGAGAAGTAAGAAGATCCCTGATTAATTTTCATGTTATATGTGTATTATCAATTAAACGTTTATAAGTTTCATGTTCAAATAAAATTTTCCTTCACAGACTTGCTGTGTAGAGAGAAAAATTAAAAAATAACAATAAAAAAAAATGTACATGATATTTGTCTTCTGCATTTAATGCATAGTATTGCTTTTCTCATGAAAGTGGGTTCATTAGAATTTTTGGACCGGGTGACAATTGATACATGTTCATTAGATAATGTATATATTTTTTGAAATAACTTTTTAAAAATATATATGTATACAGGTGTTTTATCTCTTAGCAACATTTTATTTTCACCATCCCATTACATTTATTTCAAACCACAGCAATGTATCAAGAGTGGACATATGACTGCATAATTTTTTTTTAAATATGTTATGCCTACAATATAGCTTTTAAGAAAAAAATATTAATACTTAGTAGTTTTTTTTTTTTTAGTTTCTTAATTAAAAATCATTCTGATTTTTTTTTTGTATCAGAAGAGTTTATTTACTAACTTTTATGAAATTATATCTTTTTCAAAATCGTAATTAAACTGAATAGAAATTAAAAATGTTGATGTTTATTTATGCCCTCTTTGTATTTTTTATAGATACCTTAAAAGTTTGTTATTATATTGATAAATGTGTTAATTTCTTCTGAAGGGTTTCTTTTAAAGTGTTTCATGGATCCTCTCCACTTCCTTCCACTTTTTTCATATGATAGCTGTTAGCTATTTCAATTATATGTTTGTTATCTTGAAAAGCTAATCAGTTTTATTTAAGCTCTAGATTTAAATTGAAGTCTTTAATAATGTTTTTATAATTTTAAATATTTAAGATCAAATAACTTCAAATATAGTATATTTTATTAATTTATTAAAAAAATAACTGTAAATGGAAATTGATTTTTAAATTACATGATCTGATATATTCATTTTGTGTCTGTTTATTGAAGTTTTCCATTGAGTATCATTATTTCTTTGAGCCCGTTATTACTATGACTGAAGAGAGTAGGAGTGACTGTGATATTTTATTACTATGATCAACTCTTGATAATTCATAAGATTAAGAAATTAATTGATAATGTGTTTCTATAAGTATTGAAAGCTCAACTGTTGGAATATTATAGTTATTAATAAGGTCATATTTTTATGAAGTATCAGAGTTTAAAGAGAATTAAAGAAGCAGATATGCAAGTAAACAAGAGGCTTGAGGTTACTGTATTGTTATATCTTGTAAATCTTGTAGATATAAGACTGAAACAATCTTCAGAACTGGAACCATAATTATCATATGTTTTTTTTTTATTCTATTTATTTTTCTCTATTTTATCGAATAGTTATGAAATAATATCCATCATCAGTTAAGTAGTATGTTTTTACTTTCCTAACATTAGATAAGTAAAATTATGTAATCTAGTCAATTTTTTAACAGATATTTAAGTTTCTGAACTCCTTAAGTAAAAACCACAACCAATTTTTATCTGTTGGTCTGTATGTATGGCCTATTTAGGCCTTTATTCAAAAAGTAATTAAATTTCTATAAAACCAGAAAATACATTATTCTGAATTGGACCAGCATTAGCTCAATTGTGGTGTATTGAATTTCTTACCCATAATATTTCTATATTATTTCTCAAAAGTGTTTATTTGTCAGTATGCCATATCTTGAATAAGTCTTCACCAAATCCGATGATTGAGCCATCATATTGAAAGTCATCTTCAGGTTGAAGAATAAGGATATCTTCCAGAAAAAAAAATTATAAAGAAAAGGAGTTTTCTGCTTTTTCATTTCTACTCAACTCAGGGTATACAATTTATGGTAGTAATACTCATGATAATGTAAAGGTTTCAGAATTCTATAGCAAATGAAAAAAAAATCAACTAACCCGGACTATTTTTAGCAAAGATGCAGGCAGCTAATTGTAGGCATATTTGGGTCTACTATTTAATATGAAAATGAAATGCTTCCTTTATATCAGATCCCATTTAATTATTTCCAAAAATATATTGCCATTGTTCTCTTACCAATAATTCACATTAGTTTTAAATGCATTTGTTTAATTTTTTAAAGACTATCTGGATTTATAATGACAACCTGCATCCTTCCTACACTTCATAAATTTATTTTCTGACATTCTATTTTCAAATACATTTTACTTAGTGCATACTATCTGTCTAATTTTTACCTGTAATTAAAAATTAACATATTTGTAACAAATGTGATAGTCGACTATCTATATCTTATAAATATATACATAATTACATTCTTTATTTATTGACATCCAACTATTGTAAAGCCACAATAAGCGTAATGTGTTTAGTCTGACTGTAAGTATGTAATAAGTTATCTGTGAAACATTTAAGCTTGGCGATTCAATTATTTAGTGAGGTGTACTGTGCATATTTTGAAACAGTAGTAGATAAAAATACTGAAAAATTGTGGTATAAAATGTATGTAAAGGTAACAATGTTTTGAGCAAACAGCTCAACCAATTTTAAAGTTCAATGCCTCAAATTAATAAATTACTAACCACTAATTGTATTTGTTGATGAGTCAAAACTGTTGAAAATGTTTTTAGATGTACTCTCCACTCATGTTTTTTTTTTCTGAGTATTTCACATGGCTAATTACATTTCCCCCCAAAAGTCTTATTACTTCGAAGGCTACATTCGTTATTGGAGAATTTATTAACTACTTTTTTTATTTAGAAGGAAACACGATTTTGTAATTTAAAATATTGAGTTAGCAAATAAGTCCTTTGTCAAGTGTTTTCAGTATGAAATAAAACTCCATGTATTTTAGACATTAAATTTATTTTAATCTACAATATATTGACCATTATTTAATATGACTTTTTCCCATCTTTCCACTAACTACATAACGCTCGGTTCATAGAATGTCTGGATTATATTGTTAAAAAACTGATCAAGTGCTTTTTTTATGGTCTCTTCCTTTTGGAATTTCTTTCATTCATGGAGTTCTGTAGAGAACAGAATAAGTGGTAGTCACTTGGAACTAGGTCTGGTGAATTGGGAGGGTGGGGCAAAAGGTCCCATCCAAGGCTCAATAATTTATTGCAAGTGACCAATGACGTGTGGGGCCTAGCGTCTTGGTGGAACATAACAACCTTCCGATTTTCCAGTTCTGAGCGTTTATTTTTAATTGATTAATCCATTGTTTATCCTGATCTGATGAAGAGTTAACAGATATAGTTGTTGACATATATATTACAAACAGGATAAACAATCCACCTTAGGGATTAATTCATGAGATAAGAAATGTATTATAGTGACATAAAAAATACACAAAAACCGAAAGGACTTTTTTGCCAACCCAATATAATTGGTAAAAGCTAGAAATATTTTTAACTTCTTGTCAAATATTAATTCAATTATAGCCTTCAGATCCTAATTAATTATCAAATCAAAATTTCCAATATCAAATCAAATTATCAAATTTTTTCCAAATATCTTCTTATTTGATAATCTCTTCTACCTTTCAGTATAGAGATGTTGGCACAAGGAGTTCAGTCTGTCTCTGTCGAGGGCTGCTCTCCTGACCTCCAGCCATTCCATTCCTTTTCTTTGAGGTCATCCTCCCAAATAATTCTTGGCCTTCCTCTAGGTCATTGTCCCACTGGTTTAGCCTTCATAGTTTTCTTTATTGAACGGCAGGCGTTCATCCTTATTACATGACCGAACCATCGAAGCTACCTTATCTCAATTATGTGATTGAGGGATTCACTTTTGAATGTAGTCCATATCGTTATGTCTCTCTTGGTCTTCCCCTCTATATCAGTTTGCTTTAGGGTCCAGGATTCGCTCCTATAAGTGGGGATAGGGATAAACGTCGAGTAATAAATGGCTAATTTTGTTTCTTTTGCCACTTCTCTTTTACTTGAAAACTTTCTATTTATGGCAGTGGACATCCTTCCTGAAGTGGCAATTATTGTGTATTAATTAAGTCTCTGAATTCCCTACTCTCACTGATTGTTATATCCTAGTACTTAAAGCTGGGAATCTGTTCTATCATATCATTCATTTGAATCCAAAAATTCTTCTTGTTTCTGAATACCAGCGTACACTTCATCTTAAAAGTGCTAATAACCATATTTCTTTTTGGTAGCTCTTCTGTCTTCTATACATCTAAATTTGCCTATAGCTTTCCATCACTGTTAGCTATTACCATAATGTCATCAGTGAATGCAAACGATGAACAGTTTACAGGTTGTAACTTACAGTATCCAAGTTGTGTCTGCATTCTTTAATCACATAATCCATGTGGTTGATTAAATATAGAGGGCTCTATATGTCCAAACATACTACGTGAAAATTTACTAAACATTTCGAATGACTTGTTTCATAAGGCTAATATTAAATTAAAATATAGTTTCATATTAATAGTACAAATGTATTTGCATATAAATTCAGGTCTTAGTCATTACAATTTGTGATTATATTTCCTGCTGTATTTTCCAACCTATTGCGCTAGGTTTCTCTCTTGTGTTATCTTTTATGATATCATATCTTGTGGTTCATCAAAAAATGTTAAGACTGTTATATAATTTCTTTATCTTCAAGGAATGAAATCTTTTATATAGCAGATCAAGTAAATGGAAACCTTTTTGTGTATGTGCTGGTTGGATAGAAAAAATACCTCATCTCTATTCATTCACTTCTTATACCATTTAAAAAAATATTTTGAACCCTTTAGTAATTGTTGTTAAATATAATATCCCACCTTTGTCTTGTGGTGGTTTTGTTTATTGTAATAATAATAATAACATTTTATTTTTTCTGGGACGAATCCCTTCAGAATAATTAACAAGGACGGAAGTGTTGGCTTTTGAGCCTCAGATATATATAAATGTATTTACAAAGTTAACTAATACATATAATAGAAAAAAAAAGTTATCTTCTAAATTAAATCGATTAAGAAGAAAAAATAATAAATGAAAGAACAATGAAATGAAAATAATTGGAAATAAACTAATAATGTATATACATATTTACAGAAGTTTCTATTTACAATTTTAGAGGGATTGGATGAAAAGGAAGTGATTGAATAGGTGGGATTTAAAAGTATAGTATTGGAGCGACGGATGTCAGGATGGATGGAGTTCCTCAGGGATGAGTATTGAATAATAAAAGATTTATCGAAAGCAGCAGTTCTGTGGGCCATTATATGTAAATCTGAAGACTGGGAACGGGTATTGCGGGAGTAGACAGAGGATTTAAATTGAAGGAGGTCGGCGATGTATGAAGGACTGTGGGAGTGAATGACTTGGAAGAGGAAGGATGCCAGGAAATACTTACAGCACTAGGGAGGCTAAAGCATTTTAACTCTTTATAGAAACAGGGGTGTCCCTTGGAATCATGAAGATGAATCGTACAAAGCAAATTATCAAACGTTTTAGTTTCGCCTCAAGATCCCCAGAGACGCCTCCATATACCATGTAGAAATATTAAGATGTGACCAGGGGTCTACAGATTTCAAAAGGAAAAGAGGTGGTGGATGCTATTTAAGTGTTTTTCCATGAAAGGGTTTGATCTAAGATTATTCCAGTGAGGAAAGGTTAGAAGTTTTATTCTAAGGTCGGATTGGCGCAGTTTTCCAGGAAGAGGGGAGTATGGAATTTTGCAATGAAAAGTTGTAGATATGGTGAAGTACGGGAATTAAATAATTGTATCCATAAAAACTATTTGGTAACTTCTTGGTAGTCTTTTCTTCACCTTGAGTAGAGCTGCCTAGTCTAAGCTCCACCAACAGGGGTTACTCCTAACTTGGTGGTGTTTACATGTTAGAGAAGTTTTCTTTGATTTTCAATGTGTAAATTCTATCATCCTGGCTGCTTATACACCACAACATATGTCCTATATATATCCATCACTCAAGTCCTCTACCTACTGAATGGTACCACTTATAAGAATT